GGGGGGGGGGGGGGGGGGGGGGGGGGGGGGGGGGGGGGGGGGGGGGGGGACACCATTCGGTCATCCCCTTCGGTACATCCGGATAAACCCTTGTAATAAAAAGGGGTATTAAGAGAAATTGTTATAATTTGAGATTTAACAAAAGCAAAGAACTTTTCGAGATTGAAAGTTAGTTCGGGGAAAAATAATTTATTTTTAAGAATGGGGCTGAATCAGGGGCTAATGCAATTATAACCTTAGAAGAAGTAGCCAAACTGATTGCTACACAGTGCATACATTTCTTAGCCTTTAGAAGGCGCTCATGAATTTCACATCTCAATCTCTTGCTATATGCATAATTCCATGAAAGTGTGTGAATATTATCCTAAAGGTAACTCGATTATCAAAGAGGAAAACGCATCGCGTCATGTCACGGCTTTAAAAAATATAGTTCAATCAAGAGTCAGATGGCAATTTTATATCAGTCAATGTGTTCATGGCATCAAATGTATCATCGGTAAATACAGTAATGGGAAATTTTGCCCAAGACAACCCTTTCAAGAAAAATCAACAAGAGAACTCTGAATCACATGAAATGAAAGATAAATGATACATCAAACGATCTATATTCTCTGAATTGAAAACATTAAGGTAACATTTTTGTTGCACCTTACATTTTAGCTTGGTGCTTTCCCAGTGACGTGCTGCGCGATCCACCCCAGACCATCGTATAGACCTTCGCCAGTGAGAGCACTGCAAGCTTGAATATGCCAATCATGGTTCTTGATACTGTGAAGGGATAGTGCATCGGTTATTTCAGCAGGTGTCATGGCATCCTTAAGATCCTGTTTGTTTGCAAAGACGAGTACAACTGCACTTTGTAAATCCTCATGTGGAAGCAGCTTAAATAGTTCGTCCTTCATAAGAGAGATCCTAGCTCTATCAGTGCTGTCTACCACTACGATAACAGCATGTGTCCCACGATAATATGTTGTCCATGACGTCCGGAGTCTTTCTTGCCCACCAAGATCCCAAACCTGATTAGAAGGTCACTCAGATTAGGTCAGTCGAAACAAGGAGATTTGACAAAGCAAGCTAGGCATGAACCACCTCAAAATGAGTTTTAAGGGATGTTTAGAAGCAAGGGAATTAAAACAAATAAAAATAATTTGAAATCCCTCTAAAATAGTAACCACATTTTTGCTAACGCAGCTCACGGAAAGAGGGTAAGAAAGGCATATTCTTATTGTTAGCCAATTGCATCTCACTTCAATGACTGCCCATGGCATGACATGTTAGATATTGTTTATGTTTAACTACATTCCGCATGTCAAACATAGTCGACAGGTAGTTATATCAAGTGTTAATGATAAAAAAAATTGATAAAAAACATTAGCAACTCAAACAATGTGCCAACTATGTCTAATGCTTTGAGCAGCGAACAACAAGTGATCAATTGCCTACCCAAATATAATCAGGAAGGTAATAAATCATTGTAGCTGGAAATCATCTACGAGAAAGGACATCTTTTAAAATTTCTTAAACAAGTTTACATAACTACCCGCAGCGCCCTATGGCCTTGTTCTTAGATTGCAAATTACAGGTCTCCCATCCTAAAATACATGCTGTCTCATAAAATTAGGAAGGTGAGTGCATATATAATGAGGAAATATCATTATTCTTAGAGAAAATGTTATAGAACCCTCCCAATAAGCAACATGTTTTTACAGGGGACAAATTCTGGCCCATAAAGACTGACTGGTTATCTAGCATTCACTATAATCAGAAAAATTTCTAGGAAGAGACGCTAAAAAGTCCTTGCAAAAGATTCTTATATAAAAAAAAATCCATCGGAAAGCCCAAATATGGAATTCTTGGTATCTCAAAGACAAACTACTAAAGTAAGCACTTGAAATGTCAAATAGCTTAAGTATGGAGAGCAAGATACCCTCCATCAAGTATTTGTGCACAGAAGATAAACAGATCTTCATTAATTGCAGATAAAAACCAAGTCCCCACCATATGTAAAGTATGTTTACATGATGTAAATGGCGTGTTACCTCCAATACTTGAGGACTAGGTCATAATTTAGTATATGGTAGTTCTAGTTAGAAAGTTGAACTTGTTTCTTAGATATTGTCTGATTCAAGAGCATCCCGAAGTTATTGCTAGTATATCAAACTCCAAAAATCAATTTGAAACCTTAATTTTACAAAAGCATCACCAAGTTTTTCCCTGATTAATCCATCAGCAGAATTTTAGTATCATCATCAAGCATCATCATATGAAATAAACTTAATGAAATTTTTAGCTTGCTTACCAGTTACCACCACCTTAATTACTAATATTTCAACAAAATAAAAACAGAAAATCCATAAAAGACCATCTCAATTGAATCAAACTAGTAATATTTTTTTTTATTAACGCTACATATTTTCTTCAAATTACAACCCCAGCACACAAAAATACCAACAAATCAGAGGCTAATCAGCACATTAAATTAAAACAAATAATTCATATCACCTCAAATCGTATGTTTTTGTAGACAAGCTCCTCGACGTTGCTTCCAACAGTAGGGTGCGTAGTAACCACCTCTCCCAAATGCAGCTTGTAAAGCGTCGTCGTTTTGCCGGCGTTGTCAAGCCCCACGACCACGATCTTGTATTCCTTGGCAGGGAACATCATGAACCAGAACTTCGATATAAATGCCCCCATCTTAAACCCTGAATTAATCAAAAAAAAAAAAGATCTGAATTTATGCACAAGTATCAATGATCAAACTCATGAAATTGAAAAGGAAGAAAATTGGACCTTCGGATTAATGGATAGATTGATTTTTTAGGATGAAAATTGGTCGTTGATATTTCTCTCGTGTCTTTGAAGAGGATGCTTTGATCTTGAGAGTGCTTTTTCCGTTTTGTAATGGAATATGACAATATGGATTATATTTGGGGATTCTTGTAAACATGACCAGTCAAAGCCCCATAATTCAACTTTGACTTTTACAATTGAATTAACAATAATTTCAAAATGATCAATTTGCTGTAAAAAGACAAAAACACATTTAAGTGACTAAAACAATTACAAAATACGTTTGTATTAAAAAGATAATACTACTCTTTTAGTTAACAAATAAAACTACTGTTACGAAAAAATAATCAGCATAAACAACTGAATATTCGGATGTTAATGGCTGAAAAAATCAGCTGTTAACAGTCGAAATTTCAACTGTTAACAACTGAAATCTCGGGTGTTAACAGCCCAAAAAGTCGGCTGTTAACCTGAGGCTGCTTGAGTATTTTTATAATAACATTTGTTTCCGATATCCGATTAAGCCGATTTAAAATGCGTTGAAAAGAAAACTCAAATCGCTACAACTTAGCTAGAAATAGCT